CAAGCCCCTATGAGCAATTGGTATTCAGACATTGAAACGGCCAGAGGCATTGCCCAAGGCAACAGTATGTCCGAAGAAGACAGCGGCCCACATCCAGACCCAAGCTGACCCGACAGGGAGTAAGAGGGGTGAGTTTCACACCTGCCCTGTTTAACATGGAGGAGAGGATTCAAGAAGAATGAGTAAAGAAAAAGACACTTAATCAATAGTTCCTACCCTCTGTCTTCTAGTTTTTGGGTGATTCAAATTTATGAACAACCAACGAGGGCTCAAATGTATCTGTACTTGCGAACAGGTTTCCTAAGTGCCGAGAGTAAGCAACTTAACAGGCCATTGCTGAAATCTCAGGGACTTGCCAAGGTCAGACCGTATGAATCAATCCATCAGTTTGGATTTATTAAAAAAACTGCTATGTACCCCCAAACTTGAAATATCCTAAGCTTAACTTCTGTTTTTTATCTAACTTTGTCAATGTTGGGAGAAGGTCAGAGGAGAAGAAGCCAACTATGGATTAGATATATACGCAGTATAACTGACAGAAAAAGTGCTTCACATCCACCGTCATGGGTGTTGGAGCGCTCGGAGAAACCGACAGCACATCAACAACGAGGCCTTCAGTTGAAGAGCATCATCAAATCACATCCACCTCTAATCAATGTGCCATCACCTTCACTTCAAACTCCGAATGACATTCAGCGCCGAGGTTTTCTAGTTCACTGTTTTGCCGGGATGATGAATACGCTCCGCACCAAGTCCAGGTGAGTTACCGTCTCGACTCTGCCATACTAATCAAACAGTCTTCCTTTTGAAATCTCAAGTGTGAAACACGTAATTTAACAGCATGCTAATGAAGCTAATCTACTGAAGTCAAATGATTTACACACATGCCAATCTCCTCGCCCCCCAATTGGGAGTATTATAAAATGGTCTTGTTTTCTTGAATTACAAACACATAGTCCTGCTTTCGGGCAAAGCTCTGCAGATCTACTGCTCCTTGTTTGTTAACTGCATGAAAGATCTGGTATCATACTGGCAACGATGGTTCCATGAAAAAATTATAATTTCCAAAAAGGTTCTTTGTAGTAGAAAAATGTTCTTTAGATTATTAAAATGTACTTTACTTAAAGAAAAAAAGTAATCCTTTTTAAAAACTGTTTGCAAGGTTCTTATTTTTGGGTAACCAAAAACGGTTCTTCCCCTGCACTGCTGCGAAAACCTCTATTTGGAACTTTTATTTCAAAAGGTGTATCTGAATCCAATTAAAAACATAAGACATAATGTGCCAAATTTACTAACAGCTTGCGCCAGCGCAAACCATCTTTTGGTGTTAAAATAGTACTGTCAGGATTTACTAAGACATGCAGTGAACAATTATCGTTGAAAAGGCGTGGACACAGTTATTTTTGTGCCTGACCTTATTGAAATACATTTGTAGGAGTGTCCCTTTCAGACGCAAAATTTATGGGAGTATTAAAATTACATTAAAGTTTGCGCTAGTCAAATTACTGGTATTTGTGCCATTATTTATTGGTAGATTGTGCTGGTCATTATGAAAATGATCTGGCTGCATCTGTGTTCTTTAATGTGCACATTGTTAGTAAATCACCCGCAGAATTTTCCCCTTCTATTGGCGCTTTTATGGAATTGCACTCTAATGCTAATTTGCCCTGTTTAGTAAATCTGGCCCCATATGTGTCTTAATGTTTGGTTTAGTCAAACGCCATCTACTAACCAGGCATGGTGCAACTACTAAAAGCTGTTAATCTGACCTTTTGTCTTAACCTACAGACATTTACTGATAATTTTCACCTTTGCTGTGGCTCTTAAATGTCATGATGTTCAGTTTTGAAACATAATTTGACTGCAATGATGATCAGTAAATATCAGTGAAATTTCAATTTGCACCCAAATATGCATACTTCACTATGAATTTGAATTAGATTTCATGCACTATATTAGTAAGTAAAAAACACTATGTGAAATAAGCATTTTGTTTGATTTCCTAGTATTCAAAAACAGTTCCCGGATGACTTATTATTTCCAGCGAGTGCACATCCAATGGACACTTTACTATCCCATGAGGCCATGAGAAAGACATTGTGAATGCAGAGAAGGTGATGGCAACGTGACGAATTTAGTACATCCAGATTTAATTCATACTACACACATTCATACAATATAGAGCACTCTTTTTCAATATCGCAAAGTTCATCAAATGTAGTACCTACTCGCTATGCAATTTTGAATGCAAGTTTGGAATATAGCACATGGGTTGCATGAATTGCATTAGCTGTAGTGCTTTTTGGAGCATTATAGCCTATAGCCACTATGTTTCTGTATTGCAAGAATAGCAAAATACATTGCATGGAGAAAGTAAGAGTATACAGGTTTGGAATGGTATAAGGATGAGTAAATAGGGCCAACTGAATTTAAATTGTATGGCGGTTAAACACTTATTTATGTAGTCTGTAAAATGAAAGTCAAAATAAAGCCCTTACGGTTCTGCTTAGGTAGTATATTTCTACTTTATCTCAGATGGGGGCTTCTGCATTCCGTCAGTTGGGAGTTACTAAATGGATTTCTCATTAAAACATCAGCAAGTTTCAAAGAGCTTCATAAGAGATGAGGTGGGAATCTGTTCTAATGATGTTTAGGTGAGAGTCCCAGACCCCAGAAACGCTCCCCGGAAAACCTGTGAGGATTGAGACAATTAACTTGAATCAATCGATGCCACAGATCATTATAAAACACGAGCATTAGATGCTGTGAAAAAGGTTAGTATAGCAACACACATTCACTCTCTCTTCTCCTCTCGCTCCATTTTCCCTCCACACACACACACACACACACACGCACACAAACACAAACTGGTAGCCTAATCCTCCCAATGTGTAAGTTATCACTCTACTGTAAATGTCAGGTTAGACAGCATACACTCATGAATGATGGATATATGGCACGTCCTAGTTTGCCACGGTTTCCTCCCTAGGCAGCATTACAGAACAGCCTATTTCCCGATCCAGGGCTTAGTGTTTGCAGCTATCACGCATTCCCAACACTCCCACCTGTGCTTGCATAACAACTACCTAAGCAGCCCAGCTACACTTGGAGAAAACCGTCAACCGGAGAGAAAGTTTCAGTAATACATTTCAGCAGCGCTGCCTTACAGCGGGGAAAATATCTTGAAGGAAATATTAGAAAATATTAAATTTTTTATGCACCTGTGTAGATATTTCCATTTGAGCCAGCATCGCCTACCCAGCAAATGTATTTTTTTTCCCATGCACGAGATTTGAGTATATTGCTTCTATCTTTTTCCAGGCAGAATGAACGGAAGCGACTGCTCATACGAGCTTCTGTCGCTCGCCTGCTGTCTGCAAAATTTTGACGAAAACAATTTCCCCCGCTTGAGGCCATCAGCTGAGAAGAGAGGCAAATTACCACAAGTGGCCAGTTAAAACGCCTTGCACTCTGCATGCAGAGAAACTCAATGGACTACTTTCTGTCTTTTCAGTAGCATAAATCCATGCCAGACGGGGGGGCATGGGCCTTCAAAATTAGGAAAAAATCTAATTGTCAATATTGCCATTAAGGTAGTGAACAAAACCGTCCTTGTGTGTGTGTGTGTGTGTGTGTGTGTGTGTGTGTGTGTGTGTGTTTGTTTGTGTGTGTGAGTGTGTGTGTGTGTGTTTATGTGGGCTCTGTGCTCCTCATTCACTCACACTGTGTACTTTAATGCATCTAGACATATCAAAAGTTTAGTTGCATGCCTAAATGCACTTTTTCCAAGTCCTCATAAAAAATAATGAATCATCCCATCATAAAATCTCACATTAAGAGTCTGTCAGCACTGATCATGCACATCTGATGAACATGCACCTTATAAAAACACTTTTCCAAGATGCCACCGGTGAGCAAAAACTGTTGTGGTGTGTGTGTGTGTGTGTTGGTTTGTGTGTGTGTGTGTGTGTGTTTTTTTGTGTGTGTGAGTGTGTGTGTGTGTGTTAATATGGGCTCTGTGCTCCTCATTCACTCACACTGTGTACTTTAATGCATCTAGACATATCAAAAGTTTAGTTGCATGCCTAAATGCACTTTTTCCAAGTCCTCATAAAAAATAATGAATCATCCCATCATAAAATCTCACATTAAGAGTCTGTCAGCACTGATCATGCACATCTGATGAACATGCACCTTATAAAAACACTTTTCCAAGATGCCACCGGTGAGCTCATTTTAACGGAGCTCTCTGTTATGTGCAGTCATAAAACAGGCAAGGAGTTCATTAATTTTGATGGTTAATCTACAGTCTCATTAATTGGCTTTGGTTAATTCCGCGGCCATGTCGTGTATAATTAATTACCTGTGGTACGCACAGTTGCTGCATGTGGTATGGACTTCAATACACTTCTAAATGCAGGTAATTATTGATTAGTGACTGCAAATAGAGGTACAGGATTGTGTTCTGGTCCTGGATAAATCCAGTACTGCACATTTTGGAGGTCTAACTGATTTATATCATAAGCTCATTACTAAAGGCTCCAAGACCTGAAATGGGTGTGTCAGATAAGGGAGATAAATGTGCAGTTCTGGGGTAGGTTCTCCAGGATTGACAAGCACTGCTGTACAGTGTGTCCATGAGAAAGAGATAAAAGAGAGAGAGAGAGAGAGAGAGCATAGAGCTGGCTGGCACATATCTCGCATATAGGGGAAGATGGGGCAAGAGGCACGTATTTTGTGAATTAAGAACTGAATAGACAATTCTTTACTGTTAAATGATGCTGTACATGCTTGATTCATCTGTATGTATTATGATTTATAATTAAACACAAGCTGTCCTTGCTTCATGTTCCTTTTAAACTGTAATTAAGCCAAATGAAATGACTACAGAAGTCAAGGTTAAATGTTACAGTCCCTCAGGCTCACTCTGCATTTTTAAGGGTCTTTGGAGACAGTTCATTTCCAGCCTTTACACAGCAACTTAAAGAAGCGCTCTTTACCTTGTGCTGACGCCAGATGTAGGAGCACCGACAGCAATATTACAATCCAACAGGGTCTCTTTCTGGCTTTACCCGAATTCCCAAACATTGCCAGAGAGGCAGATGGAGAGATACTGAACGCTTTTGTCCGGCACATGTTGCTCCTCCACAGTTCAGCCACAGTTGTGCGCGTAATGTTCTGAGTGTCTCTGGCGCGTCTTGTGCGAGGTCTTGTGCGACTCAAGAGACTAATCCTTCACATTTATATCTTAAACTTCAATACTGTTAAACTCCTTTGTAGGTGTGAGTTTGTGAACAGTATGTTAAAACTTCAGGTTTAGCAGTCAACGACTCCAAAGCACGGCAGACTGATAACAGACTTTTGTCCGTTCATCCACTGTCTCTACTCTCATGCATTCACTTGATAAATGTTTGATCAATCAGTATATTCCCAGTCCAGAGCGCAAACGCCTCTAGTTCACGAACTGTTGATAACGGTCCCCAGGATATGATTAGAGGCGTGATAATTCGCTCATAATCAATGACGCTGTGCTATTCTCATTCATGTAAACCAAAAAGTTAGTTCTGTTCCTGGCGCGTTGCTATTTGTTATCCCCAAGACGAGTCTTTTGCAGTGAAGAACCTCCCGTTCACGGAGTCCGCCCAGATACAGAATAAGCTTCGTTCGGTTTAAGTAACTTTCCAAGTCCCGTTTCAGTGCGCCACGGGTGCCGTTTGGTCCAATCGAAGCATGCTGTGCGTAAAGCTCCGCTGTGTATGAGGGTGCGAAACGGTATTCGTGAGATATCAAACTGTCATCGCTGAATGCCGCCCAGGAACCGGCCCGTTGCGCTGAAGATCTCCAGCATCATATGAGCAGCGGATCGGAGAGAGCGGTGCGCGCGGAGGGGGCTGACGCACGGTGCCACCGCGCGGCGAGCTCCAATAAGACACGCAGCGAGAAAGACGGGCGCTCGCTGCTGAATGCTCTGTAATGAAGAGCCCGACAGTCATTCCGAACGGATGAACGGTCGCAACGACCTTTCAATAATGTCTCCATCACTCTATGAAACAGCGATTAGTGGCTAAACTAACATGTCTGTCTGGCCAAGCTTCTTCTGTTGTTTGCGGAGCTGAAAAGTGATGGGTATCGATATTGAATTGATTGAATTGAATAGACACGACCTTTGGAGATTCAGGAACAACTTACACAGCACATTCATGAGATATTACTTGTTTAATTGCATTTCTGTCCACATTTCCTGCGGTCTCAGTTTTATTTTGACCCTTGCGGTTCTTTCAGAATCATTCTCAGATAATCTAATAATGAGAAAATCTCTATCTATCTATCTATCTATCTATCTATCTATCTATCTATCTATCTATCTATCTATCTATCCATCCATCCATCCATCTATTTATCTCTCTCTTTCCCTCTGTGCGTCTGTTTGACCATCTGTGTGCTTGTATCTGTCCATCAATCAGTCTTTTTTCCCCCCCAGCACTCTATTCACATCAGTCCGTCCATACAAATAAGAATTGTGATGATTGTAAATTGACATCTAATCTAATTTTTGTATTGTGGCATTGATGAAATTGTTGACTTCTTGTGATTAATCTTTTGTGTTTGTATTTTTCCTGAATTATTTCCCTCATTTGGGGACAATAGAATCTGCTAAATTAATAATACAGAAATGCTCAAATGTAAGTGCACTACTAGTATTATTAAATTGCATTACAGACATAAAAGAACCAATCAATCCGACTCAAAACAGGGTGATGTACAAAAGACATGCAGTTTGATTATTAATTATGAATTATTTCTCTTTCCCCCATTGGCTAAATAAATCTAACACACACAAAATACTTTCTCAAGTAAATTTACATTTTTAAAAAGATGTTCACTTTTATCTTTTTAAATTTTATGTTGTAATGGAAAAGAGCCGATCAAAAAAAGACTAATTAAAAACACTGATCAGAAGATTTTTGCAGTGTGATTCAAGAGAAACGAATAATCATATTTCTCAGAGAAGAAAACAAGAGAGGAAACTAGAGAAAGACTAAATCGGCTTTAAAAGAGAATGTAAAGAAGTGATTTGCACATCAGTCAAAGAAACAATTTGGGACACACTGAGATCAGTTCTGAGTCTTGCACTTTTGATCCAGTAAAGAAATACAAAGAGCCTGCATACAGCAAAACACACCTACACACGCTCCAGGTTAGTATGCATGCACACACATGCACAAATGCAAACACATGCACATCTATATGTAGGGATTTGTCGTTGGATCAGTAGCACTTCACCAGAGTGGAGGTCAGATCGCAGAAGAAGCCAACATCAGACTACTTTACAGGTCTGATTTCTCCTGCGAAGCCTGTTCGCCCACACACACAACACACATACAAACATACTTCAAAGACTATTGATCTTCTCTGGCCTGCGGGAAAAACAACTTCCACATCAAGCAGCGCTCCTTTGGGTTAATCATATATGTCAAAGGTAATAAACCTGTGAATAAACCTGCAAAGCACCTTTACGGCCAGGTAGGGAGGTCTGGAAGTGGACTCATCACATGTAAGCACTGGGAAAATCTGGTACTGGATCTGGGTCTTCAGATACAGGTGCTCTTGCACACTAGTGGTGAATCAGGGCTTCTGAACAAAAAATAAAAGTGCATGATTATTTGATCTTGACAATCGCAGCATGATATGACAACAATGCTTCCCTCCACCACACCAACTGCATCTTTATTTCAATAACAAATTAGGTCTGGGAAAGGGAAACCAGTTATATTATTAAAACAACAATAATATGCATATTTACATATTATTATTATTATTGTATTATTAATGTATTGTTATTATTATTATTATTATTATTATTAATAATGTCATTTATTTATTATTTAATTTAGATGATTAAATTATAATTTTATTTAAAACATTAATATAAAGAATAACAATAAATAATGATTTATTAATAAAAAATGAATACAACTATTATTAATATTATTATTAGTGTTATATTTAATGTGTACATTTTGTATTCATTTTATCAATAAAATTATGATTTAATAATATACATTATATGTTGGTGTATACAGCCTACATAGTCAACATCCTACATCCTAACTGAAATGTAACTTCATAAGTGGCTGATATGAAATGCTTTGTTTAGGCAGTAGTTCTCATGAGAATTGCACAAGAAACTCAACTCACAAAATCTACTCATTTCAATAAAGTGTGATGTTAGCATGATTCTAACCTTATGACATGATCCTCTTATAAGCATACAAATATGCAGCACACACTGTTATTGGGTAAAACAAATAATCCACATTTATCGCTATTCACTATTTTTCAATATTGAACTAATTAAATGTATAATTGATATTTATCTTGCTTCGTCTGCCAACTTGAATGGATTCTTTTCACTGAACTTGTCACAATGCATTATAGGATTTGCTTCAATGAGGTGAGCAAGTCTATGCTGTTCTCACTTTATCAAGAGAAACAGACTAATTTAAGAGAAGTACTGCTTTAGAATTCACCTCTATGGGATCTCACACAGAATGGAACCTTTCTGAAATATAACTGGTAGCAGAGAGAAACAGAGAGAGAGAGAGAGGGAGCTGTGGTCTGGAACGCTGCTACTTTGCCAGAGCATTCACTATTACAGGGACACGCAGTGTTGCAGGTTATGGGCTCGAATTAGCAGATTGTGAAATAACTTGCATTAAACAGTTTTAGTTTTTCTTTCACTCATAAAAAATGCTATTACTGGAAGATCTAACAGATTCAACTAAATTGTGATGAATGATGACACTGTCTTCTGTACAGCTGTTTTATAGCGGAATATAATTTCCTCTATAATAATAATAATAATAATATATTATATAATAATAAATAATATAATATAATAATAATCATAAATGATGAATTTTGCAAGATTTATTGACCTGAACTGAATCAACATTGAACTGACTTAAGCTGAAAAGCAACACTATTGTCTTCTGTAGAGCTGTTATAGCTCAATTAAGTTTGTTTCAGAATGAAGTTTGCATTACTGCTTCTGTTATTTGACTTAACTTGACTAGAGTGACAGATAAAATAATATGGGTGTTAGGTGGCTGTCAGGGCATTACTATATGATTTCTAAGGCATTTACTGTGTTTTAGCACTGAAATATGGTTGCAGAATCATAGTGATAGATGACTGTTGACTGACACAAGTCTAAAGTCTATGTCTCAATGACTTTCTGCTGTCGATGCTCAGGTCACTCCTTCAATGTAAGCCTGTTGAATAATTCACCAGATTAAAATACAGTAGTCAACATTTGAAGTGGATCAAAAAAGTTAATCAAAGTTGTCCTAAGACAAGAATGCATTTTGGTTTTAGAACAACTTTGATGAAAGGTTTTGGTCCACATCAAATGTTGACTATTGTAGTATAGTACTGAAGTCATGTGACGGCACCCATTCACTGCAGATGATCTATTGGTGAGCATGTGATATAATGCTAAATTTATCTAAATCTGCTCCTCTGAAAAAAAATTATAATCAAATAGTCTACATTTTGGAGTACATTTTCAGCAAATCTTCAAATCTGCATGAAGATGCCGGCATTCTATAGTTGTTTGTTTACATTAGCCTACTTTAAAGTTACTGTTAGTTATAAGGTAAAACAATGTAAATAACTTGACAAACTATAGATCATTAACATACACAATTAGTCTGTTTTACAATAAAATCTCTTAGTGACAGTATTTTCTTTTTTATGAAAATCAAAAATGCACCTTTAATATGAAATATGAGCCTCAGCCGCATCCACTGAGAATAAACTCCAGTACAGTCATCATGAAAGCGCTTCACTACACAACGTATTAATGGATTCTCAAATATCGATGGATTCTCATATGCTTACCTCAAATTTCTTTAGTGAAACTTTTACCCAAAACGGGTAAGGCGACGTGAGCCCAGTGGAGTGGAGTGCTAAAAACTCTCATGTAATGTATATTTCAAAGCCAGAGGGTATTCTCATGCAGAAAGTCCATAAGTGAGACTAATAGAAGTGATAAATCATATATCTTTCCAGGAAATCCCTTATATGGATTAAAAAAACAACAACATAGGCCTACAGGGAAGGAGATCAGAGGCATTTTTTAATGGATCTCATTGGAGGAGAAACTTTACTGCACTGAATCAAGTGTTTTGTGGGAAAACATAAATAATTCATTATTATTTAATGAATCACCTATCGGCTAATCTTCAATGTGTTTGCCATTAAATATTAGTTTTGGATTGATCTACTTGTTTATACCTTCAAAAATGCTGTTTTATAAGAGAAATCACGGACAATTGTGCGAAAGGTAAGATTAAGTTTATGGCACTTCTCATTTATTTATATGGTATCCATGAACAGTGATTGACTGTCGCACAACTCTGGCAGAAATTCAGTGATGTCAAGACTGTAATGTGATTATTAGGTTATCAAGGCACAAGCGATCCAAGCTGGCCATTATGCTTTCTCCAATGATAGAGACATGGACCCTATTATCTCCAAATAATAAGACCATCTCTGGATAAAGGCATCCAGTTATCGCTATAGTTGAATAAAATGCACATAGAAACATTTTGCAAAATGAAACATGAAAGCAATAAACACACGATCGCAACAACGTATGGTTCTTCTGTATCTGTTCATAGTTCAAATATCTCAAGCAAAAAATAGTAATAGAATTGTGTACCGTAGCCAGCTCTACTAATAAACAGGCCAAACTAAAAAAAACTGACTTTTATAAAAAACATAATATAAGAATATACCCATGATTTTTGACAAATGGTATGGTATTCAT